ACATTATTAAGACATTTTATACTTCAAACTGGTTCTGGCTAAATTACAAGTCCATAATCCATAATAATGCTTCCTCCAGTGAAAAAGTCCATCCCCTCAAATTTGTTTAGAACTGTTTTGGACTGTTTTCGCTTGTAAATGGTGCTGATCTGAGCATATTTCTCTCTTAATTCAGACGAGACAGATTTTACTTGCAGAAAGCAATATTATGGATAGAGGACTCGTATTTTAGCTGGAGTTTAAATATGTCTTAATGATTAATTTGTTTGGATTTGTTTTTATCGGCTGTTTGGACTCTCACTCTGACGGCACCCATTCACTGCAAAAGACCCATTGATGAGCAAGTGATGTGATGCTACATTTCTCCAAATCTGTTCTGATGAAGAAACAAACTCATCTTTGCATACATCTTATGCGCGTACTGTACGTCTGCAGATTTTTCTAACCTCATGTACTGTGTATTTTGAGACCTAACGCTCGACACATGCGCACTAGGAAGATTTATCTTTATCCAGTGTCTGCGCTATTTCTCTCCAGAAATTATGAGCAATGAAAATGTCTTTATTTGTTGTCTTTGTTGTTGTTTCATCACTTTTTTGACTTTGAAACAACAGTCAGTTTCGCCACCTTGTGAACAAACTATAAATGGTTAGAAAAATTGGGCTACACACATACAGATTTTCACATACAATCAATCAATCAATCAATTCGGATAGAGGACGCGTATGACAAAAATTCAGTCACAGAATGTCTCCAGTCACATGCACTGTATAAATAACCTAGTGTACACATAAAAATGAAGTATACTTTGAGCTTAATTAGTTTGTCCACAAGGAAACTGACGAGATGGAAAAAAAGCATCAAAGACAACATAAAAAGGCATTTTTATCAATGTTCCCCCTTGGTTAAAATCGGCAAGGTATTGGGGGGGATGAATCATTGTCTGGTGTGTGGAGCGATGATACATTGTCTGGCCATCTGAGATTTCGGTATGGAGATATAGGTTATATCTGCACACGATTTCAGGTATCATTCATGTCCCATGATCAATAGTTATTGTGGCTAATAATTTGATTACTGCTGTACTACTGCTGTAATCTTGAAAATGGGAGAAATAATTGTAAAGATTGATGTAATGATCTCAAATCAGTCTTTGTCCTTTGCAGTTCATCTGTTGAGGAGCAGCAGGACACAATGCTGTAGAATGACAGCGGTGAGAAAAGCTACAATTGACCTGTTTATCCCACAAAGCATCTTCATTTTGGATCATCTAAATAGTGCTTGTGTTCGTTCTGATGCTGAATACTAAGCATGTCTTATCTATTATTAATATCAATATTTGATCAGTGTGTCTCTTTGACCGCCTGTACTGTTTCAGTGTCACACCTATTCAGTGCATGTGGTGTAGTTTAACAGATGTATTCTGGGTAATGGAGTTTCCTGGTATCTTACACACTCTCTTCTCTCCTTCTGTTGTAGATGTTTTCAGTGGTGCAGGAGGATGAGCTGATGTGTGCACAGTAATGAAGGCTCTGACTTGCTTCTGGGATTAATTCTTTCAACAAAATATAAGAAACATTGGATAGTTTCCCGTTTTGATTCAAAGCATCTACACATTAGTGAGAGCGGGGAAAAAAATAGTTTTATATTGTTGCATGTATTTTAAAGTGTCACTGTAGTTCATTCCTGATGAAATCCCTCTTTGTAATTGAGTGTTTCCAATAAAAGAATAAACCCACTATCTTTTTGCAATGATATAGTGTAAATGCTAAAGGATATTGTGCCGTTTTTGATTTTCTCACTGGATATAATGCTGCAGTTAACAAATATCTTATTCTATGTCAAATTTTACTTAAACAGAGGTGTTTTAAACAGGCTGTAATGTGGGGTTTGGGTTTTGTTTTTGTTTCATGTTCATGTCCATGTCTTTTATTTTGTAATTGTTTCCTGATGTTAGTGTCATGCTTCCCTTGCCTCATGTCTCTCTGCCTTGTGTATGTGTCATGTTCTTATTGTTTGTTTTAGTCATGTGTCTTGTTTCCCATTGGTTTGTTCTTGTCATGTGACCCTCTTGTCTGCTATAAGTTGCCCTCATGTTGCCATTGTCTCTCGTCGTGTATTGAAGTTGTAACCCGCTGTCGGTGAGTCTAGTCTGTT